GAACGTCCTCCGGAAGATCCGAAAAATTCCGCAGTTTTTGAAAAAAAAACACTAAGAACTGAGATGATAGAATGAAACGTCCTCTGGAAGATCCGAAAAATCCGTAAAAGTGGTCAATGTACGGAACTGATCCTAAAGCTCCACGGTTTTTTTTCGAAAACACTTGGAACTGTCATATATAAATTAATTTGCAGTCGTGACATAGGCCATGGGACCGTCCTCCGCAAGATCTAGAACATCTTTAAAAATGGTCAACCCTCGAAACTGATCCTAGAGTTCTACGTTTTTTTCGAAAGCATGTGGAACTGCGATATAAGAAATATTTTGGGGTCATGACATAAACATGAACCCAAATGACCGTGGGGCCATCCTCTGGTAAGTCCAGAACATCCGTAAATGAGGTTAATCAATGAAACAGATCCTAGAGCTCCGCAGTTTTTTTTCCAAAAATATTAGGAGCTGTGATATAAGAATGAATTTGTGATCGTGACTTAAACATGTACCTAGATGGCCATGGGACCGTCGTCCGGAAGATCAACAACATCCGTAAAATGGTCACTCCATAAAATTGAGAGGTGGAAGCATTACTATGACGAGCACCTCAACTGTGATGCAGCAGAAAACGAAGGTGGCACGGAAACAGACCTTGGAGCACGTGCAGGAGACGATAGGCTACTGGCCCCTGATCTTCAAGAAGTTGAGGAGGAGATCGGTCGACTGAAGAACAACAAAGCAACTGGTGTAGATCAACAACCAAGTGAGCTATTCAAATACGGTGGTGAAGCACTGGCTAGAGCGCTGCACTGGGTAATTGCCAAGATTTGGGAGGAGAGGATATTACCGGAGGAGTGAAGCAAGGTGTTGTATGCCCAATCTACAAAAAGGGCGACTAGTTGGATTGCTGAAACTACCGCGCGATCACAATGCTGAGCGCCGCTTACAAGGTACTCTCCCAAATTATACGCCGCCGCCTGTCACCATTTGCAAGAGATTTCTTGGGCAATACCAGCAGGAATTCATGGGTTCATATTCGTGATTCGGCAGGTTCTGCAGAAATGCCACAAATACAACTTGCTTACACACTTAATTTTTTTCGCCGAGATTCCAATAGCCGAGTAGTTCTGCAATTTATTTTGCTGAGATTCAGTAAAACAATTGCCGAGACTCAGCCAACAAATAAAATTTTGCTGAGATATCAGCTAACAAACAGATATTTTGCAGAGATATCAGCAAAAGTTAATGCCGAAGTAATCGGCTGTTGGAGATTTTACCGAGCTAGATTAAGTGTGTACACATCATTTGTTCATCGATTTCAAATCCGCATACGACACAATCGATCGAGATCAGCTATGGCAGATTATGCACGAGTACGGATTTCCAGATAAACTGATGCGATTGGTCAAGCCAACGATGGATCGAGTGATGTGCGTTGTTCGAGTATCGGGGACACTCTCGAGTCCCTTTGAATCTCGAAGGGGGTTACGGCAAGGTAATGGACTTTCGTGTCTGCTATTCAACATCGCGTTAGAAGGTGTGATCAGAAGAGTTGGGATAGACACGAGTATTAAGACAGCTTCTTGGCTTCACCGATGACATCGACATCATGGCACGGAACTTTGAGACGAAGGCGGAAACGTACATCAGACTGAAGCCTGAAGCTAGGTGGATTGGACTTGCCATCAACGCATTAAACACAAAATACATGAAAGGAAAAGGTTCTAGGGAAGACACCCCGAGTTCAGATTGACGGTGACGAAATCGAGGTGGTCGATGAGTTCGTGTATTTGGATTCACTGGTGACCGTCGAAAATGATACCAGCAGAGAATTTCAAAGACGCATTATGGCAGTGAATCGTCCCTACTTTGGACTCCGGAAGACGTTCCGGTCGAATAAAATTCGCCACGAAGTTGACTATCTAAAAGACGCTGATTAGACCGGTGGTCGTCTACGGCCACGAGACCGTGACTATGCTCGTGGAGTACAAACGCGCCCTTGGATGACGGAACGTGGAGGAAGCGAATGAACCAAGAATTGCACCAGCTGTTGGAAGAACCATCCATCGTTCACATTGCAAAAATTGGGCGACAACGGTAGGCTGGGCATGTCGTAAGAATGTTGCACGACGACGCAGTGAAAATGGTTCTCGAAAGCGCCCGAACAGGAACAAGAAGAAGAGGCGCGCAGCGGGCAAGGTGGATCGACCAAGTAGAAGGTGACCTGCGGACCCTTCGCAGACTACGAGGCTGGCAAAGTCTGGCCATGGATCGAGTAGAGTTGAGACGACTTCTTCGGACAGCAGAGGACAACAAGGCCTTAGCCCGATTGCAAGCCATAAAATTCATCCAAGAACGAAAAGCCGTGGAACTGTGATATTAGAATGAATTTGGAGTCTTAACATAAAGATGGAACCTAATGACCATGGGACAGTCCTCCGGAAGATCCGTAAAAATGAACCTGGATGGCCATTGGAACGTCCTCCAGAAGATCCTGATTATCCGTAAAAGTGGATCATCGATGAAACTGTGAAAAAAACCGTGGTTTTTTTTCGAAAACTCTTGGAACTGCGATTTAAGATAGAATTTAGGGTCGTGACATAAATATGGATCCGGATGGCCATGAGACTGTCCTTCAAAAGATCCGGAACATCCGTAAATTTATCATACTGTGAAACTAATCCTAGAGCTCTGCAGTTCTTTTTTAAACACTGTGATATAAGAAACCTCTGGATCACTTTTACGGATGTTCTGTATCTTCCGGAGGACGGTCCTATGGCCATCCAGGTCCGTGTTTTTTTTTATCTTTATTAAGGAGACTTTCAGCCCTGGGCTGGTTCGTCTCCGGTACGCATTTATGTCATGACCCCGAATTCTTTCTTATATCGCAATTCCACATGCTTTGGAAAAAATCGTACAACTCTAGGATCAGTTTCAAGGATTGACCATTTTTAAAGATGTTCTAGATCTTGCGGAGGATGGTCCCATGGCCTTCTAGGTACATGTTTATGACACGAACGCAAATTAATTTATATATGACAGTTCCAAGAGATTTCGAAAAAACCGTGGATCAATGACACTTTTACTGAATTTTCGGATTTTGCGGAGGACGGTCCGATGGCCATCTGGGTCCATGTTTATGTCACGATCCCAAATTCATTCTAATATCGCAGTTCCTAACGTTTTCATGAAAACCATGGAGCTCTCGGATCAGTTTCGTGAATTTTCCACTTTCACGGATGTTCCGAATCTTTCGGAGGACGGTCCCATACCCATCAAGGTTCATGTTTATGTCACGACCCCAAATTCATTCTATCATCTCAGTTCTTAGTGTTTTTTCAAAAACTGCGGAGCTCTAGGATCAGTTTCATGGATTGATCACTTTTACGGATGTTCCGGATCTTCCGGAGGACGGTACTATGGACATCCAGGTTCATGTTTATGTCACAAGCCCAAATTCTTTCTATCATCACAGTTCCTAATGTTTTCAAGAAAACAACGGAGCTCTAGGATCAGGATCGTGGATTTACTACTTTTACGGATGTTCCGGATCTTCCGGAGGACGGTCCCATGGCCATCTGGGTCCATGGCCCAAATTCATTCTTATATCACAGATCCTAATGTTAAAAAAACACGGAGCTCTAGGATCAGTTTCATGGATTGTCCACTTTTACGGATGTTCCGGATCTTCCGGAGGACGGTCCCATGGCCATCCAGGTACATTTTATGTCACGATCCCAAATATTTGTTTATATCACAGTTCCTAATGTTTTAAAAAAAAAACCGCAGAGCTCTAGGATCAGGATCATGGATTAACCATTTTTACGGATGTTCCGGATATTTCGAGGACCGTTCCGTTGTCTCCAGGATCCATATATAGGAACCATGACTGTGTTCTGGCTAGTTGTGAACATTTGTGCCCATTAATCTAAATTACAGATCTTGCGCCACTTGCAAAACCCTACAAACACACCTTTCAAAAAAACGTGTAACAACTCTTTTCACTTTTTAATAAAGTAGACGACTCTATTTTCAAGTTTTTTGCAATCAAAATCATCTAGAAACCCTAGGAATTCTAAAGGCACCACAATTTTTGAAATTCATTAAGAAATGGCTAAGTTGTGCCATTGCAAACTTGCCGTTACACGTTTTTCGGAGGCTTCGTAGTCGGCGTAAAGTTTTTTACCCACCGTATTCGGAGTGTTAACACATTTTTTTTCCTTTGGTTTGTTTTCCGTCGATCTTGTTTTCCGTGTGCTGAGCAACCAGAAAGGCAGCTCCCACACCTATCGACCCATCAACTCATGAACCGGGGACCAACGGCTTTACTTCCCTTCCGAAGGAAGGCGTGATCATAGATTTTAAGCCTCAGAAAATCCCGGCGGCGCCGACTGGGATTGACCCAGGCCTGATGAGGTGAGAGGCAATCACGCTTACCACTTCACAACCGGCGCCGCTAGTGTTTGACACCTAAAAACTGTCAATTTGGAATATTTATCGATCATAAATTCGCTGATAGTGACTCTGAATGTGAATATGTATTTTCAGTTATTTTATTCTCCAGTTTGTTACCAATGCTTTTTGGATAAATTTTAATAAATTACCAGCCTTCTCTGATCCTTAAAAAACGTTCTCGTATGGGCATAAATTAAAATTCGATGAATTTTATAGGAAGTAAAGAAACCAAAAACACCAAAACCGGGAAGGCATTTATGCACATTTTTATGCAAAATGAATGGAAGTAACCCTGCGCGTAAATAAACTTTTATTTTATTGATTGGGTCATCAATATCATTAAATACACAGTGAACGTTCCATTATTGTTGAATCACTTTCCTGTCTCAATTTTAGAATCTACAAAGTGTTGAAACAAACACTTCAAATCTATGATTCAACAATTAGTTCGGTATGCCAAGAGTTAACATTTTGTTGAATTCACATGCCATTCCTCTGCGAGTATAACAAGTAAAACTGAAACTACCGACATATAAAGATCAAAAACTTACCCTCGAATGCCCCGCTCTCGGTAAATTCCTCGTAGAATTCTGTACGCACTGGTTTTGTTCACTTCGCTCTGATCGGCCAGCATAATCCTGGTCTTTACCACATCCAACGGAGTTGTCAGTCCTGCGGCGATACCTCCAGCAATTGCTCCACAGATGGCAACCGACACCGGTGTCAGTGCCGTTCCCGTAATGGAAGTCCAGTTCAGTTTGAAGTACTCCCACAATGGAAACTGGATGAACGAGAATGGTACTTCTCGCATGATCGTTGTACCGAAGCCACGGTACAAGCCCCGTCGGATACCTTCCGTCTTCAGAGCATTAAAGAGAATTTCCACCGATGATGTGTTGTACTTGATTGACAAGACCTGTCTTCTCTGTTTGGCGATTTCCACTGGGACACGTATAAGACAGGCTACTATTTCCGCACATGCTGCGGATGCCATGTGGACATAGGGTTGTTGGGACTTTGTCGCTAACTTACCCAGATGAGATTTCAGCCCATCATAGGTACAGAAAAAAAGAGCTGCTGTCGGAGCACTGCCTGCAGCTGCCGGAGCCAACCCTTTGTAAATGCCTCGGAAACCGCCGGATCTGACGAAGCCTCGCTCGCTCTGGAGCCGTGTCTTGATTGTGTCAATTGGAAATAACACAATATCTACAACCAACCCGGCGACTCCACCGGACTGACAATGATAATATCATAATGGCATAAATCATATGTTTCGCGTATGATTTCACTGTGAATCAATTACTTACAATTAATGAAGACCAATACACGTAATCCGCGGCAGAATGGGATCTAGTTTCCAGCGTCATGTCTGTTGATTTTGTGGACGACTTTTATTCACCACTCACATGTGATTATGAACAGAAATAAAATATTCCTTTGGAACTGAGATCTATACCGCAGTTTCTGATTTATGATGCGGTTTGTATTTCTCGGAGTACAAGAGTGCAATCAAAACAAAAACAGCTATGAGCGTACTCCCATCCCGAATGTGCTAAAAAATAACGTATGTTACACCACGGAATTCTCCCGAAATCATACACGGCAAATTAACTCAACTCATATTTGAATCCCATTCAAATAAAGAAAACGTCTTGTTAATATTTATTTATTTATTTATTTCGTCAACCAACGTAGACTAGTACATATCTGTACATATTAGAATACAGTTTTGTTTTCTTAAATATATTTATTTATTTCGTCAACTTTGGACAGAAGGTTAAAAGTATAATTTTTTCTTTAATAAAAATTAAGCAGTGTCAGCTTTCCTATTTTTTATGAGTTATAATGCCTTATGGAGTAAAAATATTGTTTTAGTTTATGCCGAGACATTGTAAAGTCAATGGTTTCGCAGTATTGATTGTAAGAGGCTATCATGCGGTTTAATGGCCCATATTTTGCATAATTTGTGCGATGATGTTTTATGGCAAATAAATTTCGAATTCGGAGTTGCCGAGTAGGTGCATGGAAATTTAATTTTGATAAAAGTTCTGTGGAGTCAATGCGTTGCGAAACGATATCGTTTACAAATGAAACCATTGCATATTCACGACGCTCTTTTAATGTTTGTATGTTTATAAGCATGCAGCGTGCTTCATATGATGGAAGAGGAAATGATGTCCAACCTAATTTACGAAGACCGTATAATAGAAATTGTTTTTGTACGGATTCTAACCTTTCTTCGTGCGTGATTGAAAAAGGAGACCATACAATGCTGCAATATTCCAGTATTGACCTCACATAGGCGATATATAGTGTTTTAATTGTGTATGGGTCCTGAAAGTTATAGCAAAAGCGCTTGATAAAGCCTAGCATGTTATTTGCCCTGTGAATAATTGTGTTGTAATGGTCTATGAAAGTTAGTTTAGAGTCTAAGATAATTCCTAAATCCCTAACTCTTTCACATTTTTCTACATTTTGATTTCCTAGTGCAATTGAAATATTTGAAGTTGTTCGTTTCCTGCTAAATGATATTAAGTTACATTTTTTTACATTCAATTGATGTCTTCTTCATTTCTTATTTCCAAAAAGAGCTTCATGTCGTCGGCATAAATAAGAAATTTAAGTTTTTTGAGAATGAAAGAAATGTCGTTTACGTATAGAATAAAAAGAAGAGGTCCCAAATGAGAGCCTTGGGGGACGCCTGAAGTGACTTGAATTGGACTCGATTTCTTTCCGTTGAATTTAATTATTTGTTGGCGTTTAGTTAAATATGATTCAAGCCATTTTAGGAGCCCTGACTCAATTCCAATTTTTTGCAATTTAAAAAGTAGTATTGGTATGTCTATGCGGTCAAATGCCTTGCTAAAGTCTGTATAGAGAGCTTCTACGTGGTTTCCATTATCCATTGCATTCAATGAATAGTCTATAAATTCAAGTAAATTTGTCGAGGTTGAGTGACCCTTGAAAAAGCCGTGTTGCATGTCAGTAATTCTATTTTTGATTTGGAGAAATAATTTTTCGTTGAAAATTGCCTCGAATAGTTTAGGAATGCAAGAGATAATGGCTATACCACGATAATTACGTACGTCAGATTTTCGGCCAGATTTAAAGGCACTAGGAATGAGCTTTTCCAAGTTTTTGGGAAGGTTCCAGATTCCAGGGACATATTAAAAATCCAGAACAATGGAGCAGTGAGTTCCATTGCTAGACATTTAATAAATACTGGAGGAATTCCGTCAGGTCCAGGACCTTTTGAGGCGTCTAAATTTTTTAAAGCCTGCAAAATATCCTGCACTTGAAGTTGATTGAGGCCAATGTCCCTTGAAAATTCTGGAAAAAATGCAAAATAACCTCGTTAATAACATACTTTATTAGACGCTCGGTTGAACACACGCTGCAAACCGTAAATAGCGCTCCCTAAGCTATATTTAGTTCGAAAAAGTGGAAGTCTCAGTATAAGACTGTTGCGTAGTGATCGAGGTTGAACATTAATGTTCACTTGTTGCAGAATTGCTTCGCAGTCGATTCTTCCTTGCAGAGTATCGGAGACGGTTAAGGCTTGTTTGTTTTGTACGTTTTTAGTGATCAAAAAGCTTGTTAAATTGTAGGAAAAGAAGCCTTCTTCAAAATGGCAAATGACTTTAATGATATCACTGGTTGCAATCAGGAAAATAGTTGATTTTTTTAAAACGTTAAGCTCCACCGCTTAACATTTTCATTGCTCTTGCAAGATCGTTGCATTATCCCGGGATGCAACGAGAACAAATTTCAACTTTTTCGTATTTCGAAGTCGGGAAGCAACAAATTCGCTTAGTGGAGAAAGGCTACCACCTAGGCTACCACTGTTTACAGGGACAGAGCGAATAAGTATAAAATAAGTTGCAAAGTTTGTTGTCATGGGGTAATTTGAGATTAATTTCAAGTGGCCGCTCCCCGGGATGGAAATTGTGCAGCACAAACCCATTCTTCTGGTGTAGCCCAGGCACACAATATGCTGGGACTCTAAAACCGCTAGTCCTTCCCGTATAGGTCGCATGGAGTCCCCCCAACATAATCCAGTATATCCAGCAGCAGACATGGATGTCAATTTCGGGATGGTAATCTGCAGTCATGCACAACATAACCTAAATAATATCGGTGTATCAAAAAACGCATTTTTATTAAATTTCAATCACAGTGCAATGAAAATTTACATAATATTATATTATTCGACAAATTTCCTACATGTATCATTCATAAAAATGATCGTATTTCACTATTTGAACTTTTTTTTTCAATAATTTATCATTCAAACTCTGGAATTTGAACCGGTTGCAATAAATTTATCACCATCGAGTGATATTATTTCCGAGATTATTTCCCACCACTAGTGACGCATAAATTTCTCTTGGATTCTACCGAGGGGGACGACTCTATCTACGATGCAGGAAATATTGTGTTTTGATGTGGCTAGCTGCGCGTATGCTGAGTAGATAGAAAGAAGATCTATCACGATTTTGAAGATTTCCTGCAAAAAGATGATGCTCGATGCAAGTAGATGCGAGAAATGAAAGAAGATTTTTCGAAGATTTATTCGCTAGTGTGAGATTTTTTGAGCATCTAGAATTGAGATTTAGATGTGTCACCCCCCTCGGATTCTACCACAAACGAAGTGACAGACGGAGTGGCTCGAAAACTTTGGTGAGGCACCTGCTATTGCAATTTTTCAGTGTACCACATGGCAACACCACTACTACTGGATTGTACCACATGGCAACTCTACTAATGGATTGTACCACATGGCAACACTAAATGTACTAGAATGTTTCGGTTCTATCTCTTCTCACGCTAAACTGAAATGCATAAACAAAATGACAAAATGATACACTCTTTGCACACTGTCAAAGATCATATTGCACACAAAATCAACTATGTTCAAATCAAAACAAAAATACTAGCCTATCTGGTGGCTGATGGCACAAGCTTCTAAGAAAATTCTATTACAGCGAACCACATTATTTTAATTGATTTCTTCGCCAGTTAGTCGTCTGTCACTTCGTTTGTGATTCTACTACACTGTAAAAAAATCTTAGTGTTTACACACTTAAATCTTTTCGCCGAGATTCCAACAGCCGAGTACACAGAAAAAAAGTTATTGAATATAACATCTAAACTGCTGCAACCAGGTCAATCCATCGGTTGTGTAATATAACGTTGTACCACAGACAAACAGACGTAACACATTGAATTTTTCTCACTGCAAAACATCGTCGCTAAAACAATACCGCCATCTGTTGAGTACACTGTGGTGGGTAGTACCACAAACGAAGTGACAGGCGGAGCGGCTCGAAAACTTTGGTGACTAACCTGCTATTTCAATTTTTCAGTGTACCACATGGCAACACCACTACTACTGGATTGTACCACATGGCAACACTTTTACTGGATTGTACTAGCATTTTCACCAAATGTATTAGAATGTTTTGGTTCTATCTCTTTCACTCTATTCAAAACTGAAATGCATAAAAAAATGACAAAATGATACGCACTCTTTGCACACTGTCAAAGAATCATTGTACACAAAATCAACTTTGTTCAAATCAAAACAAAAAAACTAACCCATCTGGTGGATGATGGCACAAGCTTCCAAGAAAATTCTATTACAGTGAACCACATTATTTAAATGGATTTCTTCGCCAGTTAGTCGTCTGTCACTTCGTTTGTGGTAGTACGCTGTACAGATAGCGGTAGTGTGTAAACGTCAAACGCAAGCGAATTGACTATGTGCGCCACAGGTGGCAGTACTACTAACTAAAATACTTTTAAATTTACCGTTAAATGCTTGTTCGATGAACAAATTGTGAGTGTTATGTCTGTTTGTCTGTGGTTGTACGATGTACATCGATTTTGCGAACAAAATTACATCCATTGATGTAATACTGTATCTGCTTTTTGCTATTACATCATTATTTCATACATCAGCTTGAATTACATTGATCGATATTACATTTTTTTTTGCTGTGTATTTCTGCAATTTATTTTGCTGAGATTCAGTAAAACAATTTCCGAGACTCAGCTAACAAATAATATCATTTTGCTGTGATATCAGCTAACAAACAGATATTTTGCAGATATATCAGCAAAAGTAAATGCCGAAGTAATCGGCTGTTGGAGATTCTACCGAGCTAGATTAAGTGTGTACACACTTGAAATTTTGCGCCAATATTCCAACAGCCGAGCAGCTCTGCAATTTGTTTTGCTGAGATTCAGTAAAACAATTGCCGAGACTCAGCTAACAAATAACTTTTTGCTGAGATATCAGCTAACAAACAGATATTTTGCAGAGATATCAGCAAAAGTAAATGCCGAGGTAATCGGCTGTTGGAGATTTTACCGAGCTAGATTAAGTGTGCTATAGGTCCTAAGTAACATTGATCGATTATCTTCGTCTACTTTCTCTTTCGATAATAACTCGAGCCCATAACCGTTCCTTGTTGTGTTTGTCGTATTATAGATGCTAGTTAAAAATTTCTTTTATCGATTTGTGTACTGAAAATATATAGGAATATCACAGACAAACAGACATAACACTCACAATCACATTCATCGCAAATAATGTTTTAGTTGGGAATGTGCTTGCATTTGTCATGGTGGCGCTACTGAAGCATTGAGCAAGCCACCACATTTCAATTTTATCAGTGATGCCAGTTCTTTTTCACATCTAATTAGTAGATGTCAGCTCTTGAAAATGATAAGTGGTCAAGGCATCCCACTGGATACACATACTACATCTGACGAATACAGAAAAAAAAGTTGTTGAATATTACATCAAAACTGCTGCACATTAGTCATTCCGTTCCTAATATTACGTTGTACGATGTACATAGAATTCGAGAACAAATCATGTTGATGACTGTAATATTAAATCAACTTATATCAGTTATTGATGTTCAATACTTTACCATGAATATCATTGATTGATACGTATTTTTTTTTCTTCTGTGTACACATTAAAGTGATGAGCGGTGGTAGAAAGGGCACTAATAAGTGATTCATTACCTCGTTCAAAAACTTGTTTCCAGCAAAAGAAAAAGCACACTAAGCAAACAAAACAAATCCCTAAATAAAAGTCTTGCCTTGCTTAAATACAACTAAATCATAATGTTTCCTAATGTTTGACATCAGGCATACATTTGATTTCGATGCTGATGTAGACATCAAAATCAAACGGTGAGCTAATGTAAATGTCTATTCGGGTTCTGTGACGGATCCGTATTTCTGCAGGATTCAATCAATTCTAGAGAACTTCGGAAAATTTCGTAGAACAGACATCACTGACTTCCATCTGTTTTGTTTTTATTCAACACAGCTGACGCGTTGACAAAACGAGGGAAAAGCAACTAGTGAAAAAATTGCATGAACGAGGTATGCTTCCAATGCTTGGGAATGTGGATGATAGATGGTGCTTGTGCGCATGCAAAATACGCCTGACGATATATTTTGAAGAATTTTCATCTAAGAGTTATGTCTGTTTGTCTGTGGGAATATATTTACATTGTCGTGGGAATACAAAAAGAAAGTTGACGAAGAAAATCTGTCAATGTTACTAAGGACCCAATGCAATGTCAGCTTGAAATATTTGTATTTGTATTTGTAACGAACACGCGTACAAAATTTATGAGTTGATTCGTGTCTAATCTATTTCGAACAAATGATTTTTATCTAGATATAACATTTCTATGGTTTTGACAGATGGGATCGCTGCAGATTTGAATCGGCCGTTATGGATTCTCGATCAAGAGTTATTTTAAGTTTCATGTCGGTTTGTCGGTGGAAAAAGCACTATACAGCAAAAAAAAAATGTAATATCGATCAAGGTAATTCAAGCTGATGTATGAAATAATGATGTAATAGCAAAAAGCAGATACAATATTACATCAATGGATGTAATTTTGTTCGCAAAATCTATGTACATCGTACAACGTTATATTTTGCCTTGTTCAGACTACAGAGTTCAATCAATACGAAACTAACGATTTTAAATTGGCTCACCACTTTAGTAGCCTATTGGTCCCAAGCAAACGATTAACGTACCCTATTCTAGTTGAAGTTCTATTACTACACTATGTTTGTTTTGATTCGCTATGAAAGTTTGACAGATAACATCAGGTGTGTGTGGATTCATGCAGAACATGCAGGGGTGAGTGAAATAGCTTGGGACTGCTTGGGACCGTTGTTCTGGTACTGAGTGAGCCAAAAATAATAATGATTTTCTTCGGGACCCAGTGGTCTTAGAGTTACCTCTATGGTTATAACATGTTATAGCGCTATATTGAGGGTGGTTTCTGTGTTGCAATTATTTGACAACCGTTGTAACATGTTATAACCATAGAGGTAACTCTAAGACAAGTAGGTCCCGAAGAAACGTGCTCAACTTTTTGGCTCACCTCTGGTCTCGCCTCTGGTACTATCTTCGGTCCCAAGCTTGTCGAATCACCCCTCGAAACATAGGAAAAACCAATAACCCCTCATTTTATCTGTCAAACTTTCATAGCGAATCAAAACAAACATTGCGTAGTACTAGAATTTCGACTAGAATAGGGTACGTTAATCGTTTGCTTGGGACCAATAGGCTACTAAACTGGTGAGCCAATTTAAAATCGTTAGTTTCGTATTGATTGTTGTTATAACTCTGTAGTCTGAACGTACTATAACACCAGCAAGCTGCCTGTTGGCCCGGACCTTATATAAATGTCATTGATATTCAACAACTTTTTTTCTGTGTAGCTTTTCACTTAAAAAAAAAATAAATACCCATTTTTCGACAGCTAAGATAAGATACTCATTTAATGGGTACTTTCAAGTTAGCGTGTAGTGTGTTATTATCAAGCACACGGTAAGAAAAAAGTCCCCAAAAGTAAGTTCTTTTCACTCATCTCGGCACTTTACTGCAGGAACCAGCCCAGTGGCAGGCGCGTAGGCAACATGTTATACAGTGACAGCGGGCCCAGCACAGCAAAATAAATGATTTGAGCCCGGGACATGCTGCCTACTGTCAAACGCTGCTGTTGGTATAGGCCTTGTCACTGGCCTGGCAGGAACCCAAAAGTAGGCAAAGCGGGTTTAAGTCAATGAGGTACAGAGAGAGGTGGCGCAGATCGTGAAATAGGGTTGTATTAGTAAACCAAAAAATCAACGTAAACGCAAGTAGTGACGTCACTACTTGCGTGTACTTGCGTGTATCGTACAGTGGTTGTGTGAGTGATTGCTTCACCTCGGTAATCCAGCTCATTGGGTTTAAGTAGTTTTCATTTACTTGTGTGCAATTCTCACGGTAACCAGCGTAAACACATTAATGTGTAAAATTTCACACATTTCGTGAAAAAAGGGGCCTACACGGTAACCAGCGTAAACAGATTAATGTGTAAAAATTCACACATTTCGTGAAAAAAGGGGTCTACTCATAAAATGTGTAAACTGCGTTTACACATTTATGTGTAAACCCATGAAACGTCAATAGAAGTGTATTTTTTACACATTTTTCAATTAAGGTTTTTACTGCAAAATGTGTAAAAAGTAATCATTTACAGAATTTTAATATGATGGTGACGAATGGAGTTTTCTTATTTGTGCCAATGATTAAATAAAGATTGCACGGATTCAATACTATTTAATTAAAAAAAATCACAGCCAGACAGCGGGCAATGAAAAACTTAAAAAAAAATTTTCTAGGGCTAAGCTATGAAAATAATATAAACCACTTACCCTCTAGCTTGTCCATCGTTGCTCTTTAAAGTTTGGACCGTAGTTCCTCATCCTTTGCCTAAAATTGCTGAAATTTTTTCGCTTAGGCAAATGGCGTGCATCAACGAAGCAGTATGCAACAAGTTTTGAAGTTTTTCTTTACCCATTAATGAGTATTAAAATACCTCCCTCCCTTAGCTCAGTCGGTAAAGGCGCATCTACAAAGCAAGACCATGCTGGAGGTGGCTGGGTTCAATTCCCGGTCCGGTCTAGGAATTTTTCGGGTTGGAAAATTTCTCGACTTCCCTGGGCATAGAAGTATGATTGTACTTGCCACACAATTATACCAATGCAAAAATGGTACAGGCATCGAAAGCTCTCAATTAATAACTGTGGAAGTGCATCAGCTGTCAAAAAATGTGTAAATTAGGAGATCTTAAAATGTGTAAAAAAAATACACATTTTAAGAATGAAGTACCAGTCAAAAATGTGTATTTTTATACTCATTAATGGGTAAAAAAAAAACTTCAAACTTTGCAGTATCCTGCGTAAACAAGACGCCATTTGTATATATTTCCTGTTGAACGGAAAATGAAGGAACTATGTTCCAAGCTGGACAGTGCAACGATGGACATACTAGACGGTAGGTGATTAATACTATTTTCATAATTAAGTTTACATGCATATAAATAATGTATATTTTTTTACTCATTAATGTGTTTACGCTGGTAACCGTGTGTAATTTTCCACTCGAATTCTACCCAAAAGTAAGTTAGTTGTACCCAAAGGATTTTCCAGGGAAAAATTCCCGTCAATTTTCTCATTTTCCGGCAGATTTTTTAGGTTTTCCATCGGAAACCATGAGACAAATTTTACTCATCGTTGAGTTCCTGCACTTTTGGCGATTATGAGTGAACTATAAACTCAAATTTGGCGTTCTCATTCGCCGTGTTGAGAAGCTACCAATAATGAAAAAAAATAATCTGGCCACTCTGTTGTCAAGTCCCGTCCCGGATCTCAGGCATCTCAGGATGAATCATAACGTCATTCGAGAAAGTTTGTAAAGAATTTCAATCCTAGTGTTTTGGATATTATATCGTAAATTTTCGTCAATTGTAAGTAACAAATTGGAAAACTTCGATGCAATATCACATTATCGACTGTATTTTAGGAGTAGCTAGCAATTATTACATCGAACATAATGGCGGGTATGCCAGATCAACAGGCCCTGTGGAACATTTTCCAGAAGGTGGACCGAGATAGGAGCGGGTACATCTCTGCAGATGAACTACAACAAGCGTTGTCCAATGGAACGTGGAACCCATTTAACCCGGAAACCGTCCGATTGATGATTGGAATGTTCGATCGTCAGAATCGTGGCAGTGTTAATTTTCAGGATTTCGGAGCTCTTTGGAAGTATGTCGTGGATTGGCAGAATTGTTTTCGCTCTTTCGACACGGACAGCTCCGGGAACATTGATAAAAACGAACTAAAACAAGCGCTCACGACTTTCGGTTATCGCCTTTCGGACGGCCTGTACGATATTTTGATCAGGAAGTTTGATCGATACGGAAACGCTACGATTCTGTTCGACGATTTCATTCAATGCTGTATAATCTTGTACACACTGACGTCAGCCTTCAGACAGTACGACACAGATCAGGACGGGGTGATAACAATTCACTACGAACAGTTCCTCAACATGGTATTCGGTTTAAAAATTTGATTGGGAAATTTTTAGCAAGTTCGCCGATTTTTGCACTATCAAGTACCATTAGCCTGTAAGGTAGACAAACCTGGTTAGTAATAGTTTAACGTACTGAATATCCAGTTTGTCACATGTGTATCCTTTCCTATCGCAACTTACATGCATGTTCAGAATTGGCAAATAAAAGAATATATGTATTGCACGTCGAAAGCAACAAAAACATATATTTGTAGCCTTAATGTTAATCAAAATATTGGCGTTGGCTGATGAGGAAATTTTATCTAAAAATTAGTAAATACTCAAAAAAAAACAAAATTGGTTCAAATTGTAGATTGTCTCAATAGATGATTATCTTTATAAGTAAAAATAAATATGTTAAACTGCTGTACCACGAATCATACAATCAATAGAAATACAGTTGCCAAAACTTGAATAAACATCTATAAGTGTTATGAATCAATTTGTGTCTTCTACAACATAAAAATATTCAATAAAAAGTAAAAACATTCAAATGGAGATGAGTGTCACACATTCAGTAGGAAAGAAAAATTACAGCCATAATGGAATTTGCTCCTTCTCTTCTCCTTAATAGCTATTTAGTCCCACACAGAATTTCACAATATTGGTGACCTTTTAGTAATGCCACATTTGCAAAGTTAGGCTTTCTAACCATGTACATATCATTTTTGCATATCTTTTTGTTTTGCTTGCCTCATTGACATGGTTTTTGAACATCGAATAGTCGGGTTGTGAAGGGTTCAAATTCAGGACGTGCACTATGTTCCTGCGGCTTATGTGCTTGTTTATTTTTGTAAGACCCCTTTCACTCTGGAATTTATAGAGACAATAGAGACAGATAACAGCGCCAAACGGTTTGTGATGACAACGTTGAACTGCAGCGTTGGAAGAAAACACGCATACCAACATCTACGCACGTGCGAACCTACATCACGAACCCGGTACAGCGCAAATCAAAACACGAAGCGGTGTCATCGTTGTACAATGTCATTTATGTAAGGTCCGGGCCAACAGACTTATTAGTATTAGTGAAATGTGTAAATGTTTAGTGGTGTTCGTATTTCATTGCAATGTTTATCTTTTTACACGAAACAGCTGTTGGCAGTCAATGCGTGGATTACCGAGGTGAAGCAATCGGTTAAGTTGTGTGAGTGAAACCCATGTAAGATACTAGCAATTAGTGACGTCACTAATTGCGTTTACGTTGATTTTTTGGTTTACTAATACAACCATATTTCACGATCTGCTTCACCTCTCTCTGTACTCATGTGTTGGCTGTGACGTGAATCTCACTGTTCGCAGTAAGGAATGTTATGGTAGCGTGACGTCGTCACTTGAGTGCTCAGCATAGTTTATAATATGTTTGCTTATAACACCAGCAAGTTACGAGGCAAGTTGCTGTTGGCCCCGTTGGCCCTGAACCTTATGTAAAATCATTGATCGGTGTCTTCACTCATCGTCATCGTTCGTTATCATTAAGCTTCAGCTGCTTCCGTTTGCGTTTGCATTCGCCGGCGTTAACAAAATTTGTTAATACGTTCCTATACGTTATAAAATAGGAAAGAGTTAGTAATCATTATTTCAACGTAATTTTGGAATGGAATGCGTGCTGCGTTGGTCAAGGGAGACGGCATATTTTATTACGTTTGATTATCAATGATTTCGAAGCGTTGCATTTCTAATGGCTTGGTTGTTGGAATAATTCTTCAGGCAGAGGGAATGTGTTTTCCTGGTTTACTTCTATGCTTATAAAGATTATTTTGAGCAACAGCTTCGCAAATCATCTATTACAGCAGTTTATGGAGCTTGTCAGAAGACTTAATTAATTTATTAATCTTGACGTTCAATTTAAATGTGGTCTTGAGCATAGTTGCTGTTAAGAAAATTTCACATTAGTACAAATAGCAAACTTTTCCGCAGATCATTACAGCGAGATGAGAATAAAAAGTTCACTTTTCCCATACTAATTCATATATAAACTTCAAAGGGCCAGTGCACTATGAGTTCGCATCTTAATGAGTTCAAAATACCATAAGAAATTTGAATTGAAATCGATTAAGCTTGGTGGAGCAATAGGTCTTATTTTTTTTAAATCGTTATTAACGAGATTTTTAGTCATAGGCTAGTTCTTCGTCTTCTTCAAAAACTTCTCAGGATATTTTCTCATTAATTCAGAATGATCAAGTAGGGTTAACTACCCCATTTCCGGCCTATTAAGCACAAACCGCATTTAGTCTTTCTTAACCTAGCGCAGTTTAGCACCAAACGAAATGTTATTATTACTGATGGCTTCCAAATTTATTTACCTTTTCGTACGTACCGTAAGATTTGATAAAGAGAAACGAATCGTTGAGATATTGTCAAAAGTCTAACACTGCTTCTTGACGCCAAACTCGGCCTACGGATTATAAAGTCGGCCTAACACATTGCAACGCCATTGAAACGCCAATGAATTCACTTCGGCCTATCGGATGAAGATAAAAATTGATTCGGTCATATTACGCGTTCTCATTGACTTCGTTCGGTAGCTTATTAACTAAAGTATCGTACTAAACGCATAATTGACTTGTTAACTCTGAGATCATGGATTTATTAGAAGTTTTCTGCTCGATAGGCCCAAAATGGGCGATTAGGCCGAAGTAGTTCTCTACCCTATCAGAGATTTTTTAAGTGTCTCAGAAATTATTGCAAAGCCTTCCGGTGCTCATAGCTGGAGACCTAGTTCTCCAATAACATCTGAGGGTGCTGCAATGATGTGACAATTACCCCATAGATTTCAGAAGTGTTCGGCAATTAATTCGACATATGTTGAGTTATGTTTGACTATTGACGAACATAAATAAGACTATTTATTCTACTAAATAAACCAGCTCTTCAGCTACATAAGTGTTACACAATGATAAAATTTTCAATTAGTCCTGACATTGGTTAAAACGTAAAACAGAAAACAATATTGAACTACCCATTATAGAAAACCAAAACCTTACCATGCGGCTCACACGGTTTCAATGACTCCCCGTTTTTTTTGCCGCTCTTCGCCCGCAATGAACGAAGTTTCCTCGGAGGTGGGACTTAATTCCACGGGTATGGTGATCGTCGTGGAGTTCGAGTTGACGGCTACCACAGTTGGAACGGTGGATTCCTTCGACGTTACGACAGTACTGCTACTACTACTAACAACCGATTGACCGCTAGTGTTGGAAACAACGGCCACAGGCTCTAGGCTCAACCGAGACGGGGTGTGGGACCGTGATGGAACATTCGACGAGTTACGCGAGACGGGACTTGAATTCTGCGAGCGGCGAAAGTCTTCCAGTGGAATCTCCTCCGAACGTGGTCTCGGAATACGTGGGCTAGATTCTCGGGATCTGGGCGTTCCTCCGGCTCGGTTGCGGGAGGTTTCACGAGATTTAGCCACATTGACGGCTATCGGTTGGCTGGACTCCCGATCCCGACGAGCTGTGTTGGAACTTTTCCGACGGGCTCCCGTAGAGTCGCTACAACAATACAACAATTAGCAACATTATTTTATTAATCGGGATTGTTTTTCGTTCAACTTATACAATAAAGGAAATGTCTAGGATAGGTAACTTTCACATCCGGTTGTCCTCGAAGGTCATCATAAAGTACAGTAAATTATTGAGTTCCTCCTGAAGAAAAGAGGGAAAGTACAACTCACTCTATTTAGACTATAGGATTTAGCCGTATTTCTAGAAATGGCAAATTAAGAATGATGTATACAGCTTTTTTGTGGATGTTAAAATTATAATGACGTGTCATATCTTGAACATTTCCATCTGGTAATTATTTCGGGTTCAATTTGATCAGTTGTGTAAAACGGCCTATTTTGTAGATTGCGATTTTACTTATGATTTCAAATAAAAATATAAACTGAAAATTAAATTTACAGTGATCTTTTGCAAAACATTACCCATCAATCGAGCGACTTGCGTTGAGTTGTACTCTGCTAACACTTCCGGAGGGCATGCTGTCCCGTCTCAAGGCAGACGCGACCCCTGGGACGCGGTTCGCCGTCGAAAACAACGGACGATGTTCCCGAGGTTGTCTGGCGCTGTTTGGCCGCAACATTCCACTGGGTCCCGTTGAGCTGGAAGATGTTAGTGACTGAAACGGAGCGTCGTTCAGTTGGCCAGGTATCTCCAACAGCTGCGCGATCTGGAACATTTTCTTTTGCCGTGCCTTACTGCGACCTTTGGTAAGCCTTTGCTTCGCTGCCATACAACGGATGTGGTCATCGAACATGAACTTGGCGGACAGTATCGGTGTACGGTTGTTTGTGGCACCACCACGATGAATGGTGAGATGTAAACTTCTGGAATCCTCCTTATCGCCGTTCACTTCGACGTCCTGCAGGAATCCAACGAATTTGGCTACACCCCATCCTAAACGTTTACTATCCGGCTCTACCAATATCAACTGAAGGATGTCCATAACTAAAAATCGTCGATACTTTGTCGCATCACGCATCACCACGGTACATGCTATCAGGTCACTGTTATCTGAAATGAAAAAAAAAATCTTCACATCTCCTGAACAATAATTCGAGCACAAGAGCATCTTACTCAAATCAAGAGCGTTGTCAATTTGCACACAGTGATTGGGATTCGTAAGGGGCAACAGAAGCTCCTTTTCGCCGCTGATGCTTTGACACATTCGGCGAAGCAAGAAAAACACACGGATGGCACGGCGCGCCTTCTCCACTTCACCGCAAGGCAATCGCCTGTTGAACTTAATTCCAGTCAGCGGAGTCCCCGTTGGTGGCAGCAATATGGTGGAATCGTTGCACAGGAATTCCACGTTCAGAATCGACTTTACCATTTCGTTGTATCTAAGAATTATGAACATTTGAAAACACAAGGCCAATCCGTGTTCGAAGCTCTACTCACTCATCTTCGAACAGGTCCAGGAAGATGTCTTCCGATTTATAGAAATTCCTTAGAACAGTCATACTCTGATTGCGAGCTAACATGATGGAGAGCCTATGTAGTTCATTGATGTTAACGTTGGTGGTGCCAACGCCGACGATTTGGGACAGCAGTTTCAGCGTTAGCTCAATCGTAACCAATCGAATGCGGCAGGCTAAAATAAACGTACAATTCCAACTTAAACATCAACGGACTGATTTATTAATTACGATACTTACAAGGCTGACTGGAGAGCGTGATTATTTGCAAAAGTTTCTCTATAAGTATGATATTGTACTTGGAACATCCCGATGGTGACGAACGATTCAGGACAATCTCCAGCCATTCCGCATTAACTCCTGGAAAAATTTTATCAATTTTAATTTTCATTCTTGATTCGGATTGGAATAAGTTCGACAATATCATTAGTAAACATTATAATAGGACAAAGAGAAATATCAACCAACCATCTACCGTTCGATTGCCCGAAGTTTGAGTTCCATAAAGGGGGTGCATGTTCAGGTTTTGAGCAGACAGTTATGCATAGCAGTGTGGATAGCGTGGATGACAAGCGAGAATGGAATTATTTTTAGCTATATATACTTGATTCATGAGTTTCTATTAGGTATGTTATTAGGAACTGAGTCTAATGATAAAATAGGAATTGGATGATAATGGCACATACCTTTGTTGTTCGCCAAGGCATACAATAAGCAAAGCGCCAAAAGAGCTAGATAGTCATTCTCAGCGCAGTCCAACGATGAAAGAACCATATCCAGGAACGGTCTGTTTGTTTCAGGTGTACGATATGCATTGAGCAGCAGTTTTTCCTTTTCCTCGTCGGTGATGTTGACTTTTTCTATTTCGTCCGACAGCGTTGGAGGGCTTGGTGATTCTGTAAACACATTCAACAGAAGATATGTAGTAGATAACCTTGAAAATCTTCATTATATAATTACCCGAAATTTGTTGATCATGATTGGTGGACGTGCTGCTGCTACTGCCCTCCTCAGCACTGTGATCATAGTGGTAGCTGCTCGAGGACGCCACCGAACTTTCCAGTGCTTCTTCCAAGCTTTCGACGGGTTGACCAAACCCTAGTGCCACTACCTCGCGATTTTCAATGTACGAGTTCAGAATTTGAGCTGCCCCTTCTTTGAACACCGTGTGATCAGCATTCAGAATGACCCAGGTCAGTGCATTGATAAGTGGCCTATGAGTTATCACTAGGAAAACGAGTGAGAGCAGGAATAACGCGACCACGCTGGACACGCGTGGATTGTTCATCTCCTTAATATCGATATCGACAACCTTATTCAGCACAGCCGCCAGGTTTCTGGTCACGACAGCCATCGAAATAGGTGGCGAAGGGGTCAGAGAAAAAATATACAAAGGAACGAGCAATTTGTGAAGCAAATGCTCCGTCAGGACCGCATTCAGATCCGGTATATCCAGGCAAAGAATATCGTTCAGATAGTGCAAATGGTCAAGATGCTCTGCAACTAGATTTGCCAAACGATGCTGAGATTGGTGGCTAAAATAAAGAAATATTTTTTCTTCTTCTGATTGATGCATGCCGACGCAAACTTACTCGGTATCATTCCTCACGCATGAATCCAACTCCAGAATATGCTTCCCAATAAACCAAACCAGATTACTGAAGTAAGGAGCAGCAGTTTTGTCGCGAATAAACTGAAGCATGTTGGGATTCTGCACTCTATACACATTCAAAGTAATCGTGCGAACAGCTATACGCACCATCGACTCAGGATGGTTGAAGAACTTGATTGCTTCGGTATATAGAGGGAAGTCATTCGTATGCTCATTGTAGAAGAAGTGTATCGTGTGCGTGTTCAGCTTCAGGCTAAGCGTCTTGAGGAAAAGTATATAATAACCCATCACATCTTCATCGGAAAAGTCGAATTTGTGGACGATGATTGAGTTCACTAGGTTGTTACTAAGAAGATAATCTGAAAAGACAAATCATTCTCATATTCGGTTTCCCTTTGATAACAATGCCTACTTACAAAGGGACGTTTCATTTCGAATGTTTTCAAAAAGAATATTCAGTGTTTGCAGTAACTGAACGCAGACGAAACTAGATCCACCGCTTTTCTGGCGCATTATGTGTAAGAAATATGAAAGCATATTTTTCTCCAAGAAGAAACTGCAAAGCAATAAAATTTTGCTATCAGCTGAAGGTCACTTGGCTCGATGTTTCCATTCCATATACTTACTCGAACACGGATGAATCATTCTGGTCACCCCAAATGAGGATCTCGGCTATGCATCGAAGAGATTCCACCAGTAAACCGCGATTGTTCTCCGATACGGTAGTGTTCCGCTCCAAAACGCTGTACAAATATTTGAGATGATCCAGTGAGAGGCGATTTTTAGGACGGTTCCAGCCTCCTCCGAACCAACTTCGACTGCGAAACATTTTGCTTTGTTTGGATTTTATCGCTTCCGCGTTTGCATTGACTTTTAAAACAGCGCGCGAACCACAATGATGAACTGTTTTGGACTATTTAATCAACATTAAACATGATTGCTACACTATTTTTTTCCGATTTTAAATATTGTAACTAAATTCTTCCAAATCACAATTTTGCATGAAAATTTACTTCTTGCATTGACATAAGCTGTCATATGGCCTTAAACAACACAATCGGATAGTGGGAGAGTATGTGACAAATGGTAACATTAAATTTTTTTCAAGATTTTAACTAATTTTATTGAATCGTCAGACTATGTGAATCGATTAAATTTCAATATTTAAAAATGCCTTAATATAGATTTCAAAACTTTATATACTAATATGTAAACTATAAATTCACATTGCGTTGCAAAAAAAAAAAAAAACTCTTGATCTTCTCGTCGAAAAATATTAGATCATACGCCCTTTTTGTATAAATGTGAGAGCTATAGCTGGGTAGTGGGTAACGATCGTAACGCTCATATGATAACGCCTTTCTAGCATGCGGATTTTGACATTTCAAAATGTCACATTCTTTTTTGGCTTTATTATTCTTCATTCGCAAATCGTTTATCCCAAACATTCTTTTCCCAATTTTATCAGGTTTAAGATAAATTTAACCATCAAAACACACTTTCATTATGGCTTTGGCAATGCAGAAAAGGAACAATGTAAGTAAAACGGTGTTATAATCATCTAAATATTAATTTCCGACTGATGAATATGGCTCTATCTATTCCATAGGTGCGATTACCTCCTGAGGTGAACCGGGTATTGTATGTGCGTAATCTCCCCTACAAGATCACCTCCGATGAAATGTACGATATTTTCGGGAAATATGGAGCCATTCGGCAGATAAGAGTGTAAGTTAGATTAATTCATTCGGATTGATTCCAACTAAAAATAAAACAAAATGTTTTCAGGGGCAATACACCGGAAACTCGTGGAACTGCCTTCGTCGTTTATGAGGACATCTTCGATGCCAAGAACGCCTGTGACCATTTGTCTGGGTTTAACGTGTGTAACCGGTACCTGGTCGTGCTGTACTACCAATCGACGAAGGCCTTCAAACGATTGGATGTTGACAAGAAGCAAGAGGAACTGGACCAGATGAAGGCTAAGTATAATATCAATTCGGACGATTTGCGGAAATAGATACGTAGCGTAACATATTCTCAACTAAGATAGATATGTGTAAGTTGTATTACAATATAAATTAACTAAAAATACAATATCATTTAAGGAGGTACATTTGCTTGAATAATTATGAACAATCCGAAAGAGTATAGTTCACTAAACTGCAGCTATTTTGTTTAGTTTATTTCTACAAGCTCATCTAACGTAACAGTCTTGAATATTTTTCAAACAAGTTAACTTGAAAATTGAAAGTGATCGACTCAACACATGGTTTTGCAGCTTTTCCCCAGACCCGTCTATTTTGATATTTAAGTTATCTTTATTGAGGATGTCTACAATCGATTTTTCAAAGTTGATATCGATTTTTTATTAATTTAATTCAAGAGATGAACTAGCCTATGGCTAAAAATCTCTATAATAAAGTAAAAAAAAAAAAAAAAATAATTTAATTCTTTTTATAAGGCATTTAAAAAACGGAACGGCTAAATTACCAAAGGAAAAAATAAAATCGCCCAAATCTTTTTATGGTGACGGCGACTTTCTAAATCAGATTAAAAAATGATAAACAAAATAGTATTTCACAATCCCAAAAATATGTCTTTATTTAAACTAAAGCGATTTTAATTCCATCGTCCTCAAATTTTGCTAAACATCCTACCAATCTTGGGCTTTATTTATTTGTTTCTTTTCGCGTTATGTGTACTTTGGACCCATTCCTTCCAATTCATCCAGCTGATTTTGTCTGCAAAAAACCACGCACTGCTTGATGCAAAAAAAGGTGAGTTTTAATACCTGCAGAAGATTTTGAATGCTCAAATATAGAATTGAGGTTGAATAATCTAAATAGTCGCAATAGTTCTTAATAACTTGGTGTCAATATTTAAATAGAGTGCAATTAATTATATGATTTGAGTAGTAGATATACTGAAGATCCGAGAGATGTCGCCCCTTCAGTGGTAGGAAAATCATTTTTGCAGTATGGAGAATATCAGAAAATCCACGATTTGTGACTAAACATGCTTTCACAGAAGGAAACAAATAAACGAGTGTTTACCTTATCACCATAGTAATGTACTCGTGCAATTTTTGTGCATCTAAAACTGCCCATAAAGACGATAATGAATAAAAACTGAAAATTCTCATGCATTTCCAAATGGTTTCCTACCATTCCCATACATTCGAAGTGACTGGCCCTCTGGATGTGGATGATGTCAAAAACAACAAAACATGAACTGGCTTCATACAAATAAAAAAATGCTCACATATACACGGCCAATCATACCAACTAAGCGACTGAGATTAATTGACTCAGAGAATTGTCTTTCCAAACGAAATTTACCTAGTTTTGGGAAAAAAAACTGCAGTTACTCGCAAGCTAAAGGCCCAAGCGCAATGTGGGCGGAAGCGGAACGGAAACGGAAAGTTTGACAGTTGTCACAAATTACCTCAAGATGCCTAACCGAAGTCGATTTGGTTCTAACTAGTTTTCAATCCGACAAGTAGGCTTTCTCAGATCGGGCTTTTCCGCTGCCGCTGCCGTTCCGCTTCCGCTGTCATTGCGCTTGGGCCTTAAGAGTAACTGTAGTTTTTTTTCTCCAAATCTGAGTTATTTCGTACACTCAAAGGTAAATTAAATAAAAAAAAAAGCTTAAAAAGTGTGCAGATTACCGCTTCACCTTATTGAGTCCGAGCCATGATTACTTCGGCAGTAGTCATGCATGATTAAATTCAAAATAATCTTTCCAGCATTAAATTTTATTCTTTTTCAATACTGATATATAATCAAAAAAGATTAAAATTCAATCAAAAATTATTAAAATAGAATCAAAAATGATTAAAATTTATTCAAAAAAAGGTAATCTACAATCTAATCAACCATGATTAAACCGGGATTAATATCAGATGCTTAATTTTTAGAAACATATAATTAATTTGTAATCATTCGATATGATTAAACTGAGTTTAATGTCAAATTGATTAAATTTCAAGCAAAATGTAAATAGTTCAAAAATTATTTATCACTGATAGTTTACATTTGACTACACGCTAAGATAAGATTACCTAAAATTAGGTTTTAATTTTACCTAAAATTAGGTTTTGATACTAATACCCAGAATATAGGTAAAATTTACCGATAAATAACGTTACTTTTTATTTATATTATGAGTAAAGAGCCTTTTCAAATATTTACTTTATTTTTTACCTAAAATTAGGTGAAAATTTAGTCACTATGCAACGAGCAGCAACGCTGATGGCAAGTGTTTGTGTGAATTGTAGTGAAAGTTACCAAAGTAATGTGAAGACGAGTGTGAAGAATTTTTGAATGAAACCGAAAATCAAATAATTCAATTAAATTTCAACGACGACTTATACGAATAGTGAGTATAATTACCTATTAATAATCCTAAGCAAATAACAAAAAAATGACTAGTGCTGCAAACAAAAACTAACCTCACTTATGTGTTCGAACCAGAGTTCGTACGCAAGACTATCAAATCATGGTAAAATATAATTTTTTTGCTTATATTATCCATTTCTAGCTATTAGAGGCCAATCCCACCTCAGCATCCCGCAGGCACCCGTCGTGTCTTCTTGCTGGCATCTCAAGTGCTTGTTCCTGTTCCGGCTGCTGCAATCCTTCCGGAAAGGTACTCGAGTTGTCGACGGCTTGCGGAAACCAGCCAGGAAAGCAGAGTGGTCGATCAGTGATATTCATATCAAACGACCGTCAATCAAAAATCACAATTAAAATGTATTTTGCAACGATTTTGAATATACTTGCGTGTTTTTATAATTCTGAGTGGGTACAAAATGTACCATCAAATCCGAAAAATATCTTAAAAATAGCATCTGCAGCGCTCGCGATAGCATTGCAAAAACCAATAATACAGAAAAAAAAACGTAATTTTCGGTAAAAAGTAACGTTACAAAATAGGTAATTAACGATTCTCAACCATCAATACCTAATTTAAGGTAATCGATGTTTACCGATTATTTAGGTATGTGCACTTTTGTTCGATTATCGTTATTTTTACCGACTTTTAGTATAGTCGCTATATTCATAGTCTGGCGGATAGAATCTCGGGAACCAATTGCGACTATAACTGTTGAGACGCCGCTTGGACACCCCTAGTTAACGAGCATAGCTGCAGCATGACAGCTCGCGCGCTGGAGTGTTAGTAGTAGAAAGTACAAAACAATACAGATGATAGTGGAGATAGTACATAAGGAAAACAAAACAAAACAGATAGAAAAGGATAAGTTCGCCATTGCAACAAAAGTCGGTTGTTTACGGTGCAATTTGTAGCAATTAAATTCAACAGTAAAAGTGGTTTATTGAGTTCAATTTCGCAATTAGCTAACAGATAGTGCAACAAGAATCGGTCGGTTCAAATCGTGGTTCAAAGCTGTAAGTAGTGAGAAGAAGTGAGATTAATTCATTTACTTACCTGATTGTGTTTCTCCCAGAAAACCCACCAAACAGATTACGGTGAGGGTAGCGGTACTCAAGTTCGCCAAATTGAGGGAAATCAGAAAACGGAGTCTAGTGGTAAAGGAAACCACTTTGTTGTGAGTAATTTACTTAATTATTATTATGATTATTTATTGATGATAAATAAATTACAGTTTAAGCGTTGCATCAAAAAAAAAGTTGCTGCTTTAAAAATTTGGTTTCCCTTCGGGAACAATAACTTTTAGGTATTCCTGTCTTAGCATGTACGGCAAAAATAGTTACTTACTCGTGAGTATTTTCTACCCAAAATTAAGTTCAATTGACTCACATTTGAAAATATCTGCTACTCACTACCTAGTAGCTTATTGAACGATAGTCATGAGAAAATCGAATCTCTCGTTCCGTTTTTGACAACACCAAAAAGTGAGAGTGGGAAGTCAAAATACCCAAAATTAAGTTAAAAGAACTTAAATTTAGGGTATTTTTTTTCTATGCAGCATCGATTTATTGTTTCCTCTCCGTTATTTTCTCGCTTTTCGGCAGGCGTTTTGAAAATACTTTAAAAGTGTTACACCCGTTACCACTTTACTAAAGCCCTACAGTAAAAGTATGGACGTCTGTCAAAAGTTGTTCCAATCGAACCGTCAAAATGCACTGCTTTGCTCGATTGGAACAGCTTTTTTCAGTTTTGTGGTGACAGTCGTCCATACTTTTACTGTAGGGCTTTACACTTTACCTTCTCAAACCGTCAAACGCGCCATTTGTCAATCAGTCAAAGCCGGTGGCGTCCACTAAAGTTGGTTCGAGTTCTGTTTAGTAAAAGTATTTTTTTAAGGCAATTATAATAATTGATTGCTGCTAGTGCAAAAGATTTTCCTAAATTTACGAACTCTGTGTGCTTCCTGTCGGTCACCATCACCATTCACCATCGATCGGCCGGTTTTGGTAAGTGCTTGAAATCTGCATTCGCGCTCAAGGCTCAACTCGAAGCGGTGGGATTCATTGTCTCTTGGTTGAAATCGGAAAGTTTTATAAACAATAAATACTTGCATTGAATAGTAGTGATTGTTCGCCGGGTTGTATGCAGTGGAGTAGCGTGAATGGGTGACCCATGGAAGCAGTTATTCTTCAAATGTTTCGCTCGGTTTACAATCAACTGAAATTCGGGAACGTAAGTGGAGGTGGGTCGGCCACACATTCAGAAATTTTAAAGGAGGTGCTGGATTGAAACCCGCCAGACATCGCAGATGATGCAGACCAAGAGGCTCTGCTAATGGCGGCGGAGAAAGTCGACGGGAATTTGGCCTGAGCCCAGGTTCAAGCAAAAGCCAGCAGTCACCCAGGAAGGGAATCTTTCTTGTTTGGTCTCATGCTCCAGTATCCAGTATGAACAGTATGAACATTCTTTAAATGGCCTAAAATAGAGCTATCACCTTCTACTCCAGGTCTAAAAATGTGTGTGTATAACAATACGCAAACAATAACTCACTCACTGATTCATGCATTCAGAACTGAGCATAGTACATTCTCCACTTTCTGTTGATATTGGCTTCTGATTATATCGACGATGGAAATCGGTGTTCGATTATTCATAAGCTATCTACGTAGATCATTTACAGTCCCTGTATTGACAGGCCCTGTATTGAATAAAATAGTAAAATAACTCGACATTCGAAACGGAATTTTTTCCAAAAAAAAAAAGCTGGGACGATTTCTTTCAAATAATACGAAGTAAATATAATAGTAGAGAGATGAAGCAGCCTATGGCTGAAAGTCTCTTTAATAAAAAAAAAAGATAAGGTAAGATAATATGATAGTAGTTTGTCATTTATTTGTATATAATGAATCTTTATGCATTTTGTTTCATTTTGTTAAGGCAAAGCATTTACATAAAATATATTAGTTGTTCTACGATGCAAGATTTTACGAGTGAGTTGCCGTTTTATGATTCAATACTGCAAATTGATCGCATCTGATATATTTGTTGTTGTTGTTGTTGCTTGTTTCGTGTTGATGATATTGATGCATGTGATGAATATTATAATTTTTTTACCTTTCCTTTTCATCAGGGATGTACATATTAGAAGGGAACAAATATTTAGAATATAAAAAAAACAGCAATGAAAGCATTGCAATAAGTCGTATCTTGCGCTTTAATTTTGTGTTATCGTGTTCATCGTTTTTTTTTTTATTTGATACGATTTGCTTTACCGCAAAAAGCTCGCATTGAAACTCACCAGAATTCAATAGCGGTTCTTAAGATGAATTTTGTCAAATAGTGTATAGCGAAAACGATCTATGTAGAGTTTAAGTTTAAGTGTAGTTAAAAGCGGTAAAAGTCTTTTGGTTCTGATTTGTTCTAAAAGGGGAGAAAATGCTCGTTATTTCTTTGTTTTGTTTTGTTTTATTTTGTTATGCACTAAGAGGTGGTACTGAATTCGTTATAGATGGGTATTTTTCAATATGTAGGTGTTATAATTATGAATGGGATATTCAACTACTGAAACTACTGGAGAAAACATAATTTATAGGTTCTTAGACTGCCTAGATTGGTGGAGTACCAAATTCACTAACAAAAATGAACTTTTAAATGCAATAATGGTTTAGCTAGATTGTACGATTTAGAATAACCACACACCGATTTATGTCACGTTGTACACTGCCACTTTGTTGAATTTGAGTTTGAATCATCAAATCATTGCCGACAGGGGGTTGAATCTCATGATCTTGGACAGCAATATCCAGAGGAACGAAGTAAAGGCGCATAGAACCACACCACCCCAGCCTAGATTGAGGCTCCAGGCGGTGACAATGACCCGTGCATTCAGCAATGGTTGCGCGTACATGTAGTCGGGCTTCACAGCGACCACGCCGTCGATGGAGACGCCATAGTCGATCTCAATGAGTGGCCGTCCTTGCTGGCGCTTGAAATGTATAATCATCAACGTGAACAGTGCAAACAGTGCTGGAAGAGGGAGAGAGGAAGAGAAAAACAATCCAGTTAATAGATGCATGTTAGACATTGTGCGCAATCACAAAAATGGAGCAATTTATAGTGCTCCATAAAGATAATGCTAAAGCTCTGCGAGGAGCTTTAGCGAGCAAGAGATTTAGAATGTAACTGCTTGTCTCATCGTGCCTTTATGACATCATTTTACTAGTCCAATTTTCATAAACATGAGCAAGAATACATTTGTTCCGTTCTAGAGCTAGGAATACTGCACACAGCATTATAGAGATTGGCGATATGCTTTTACAGTGTTCCTCCGTTAGAGGCAATGACATTTATATAAGGTCTGGGCCAACAGGCAGCTTGCTGGTGTTAGAAGCAAAAATGTTGTAAACATTGCTGAACATCTGCGAACAGATAGATATACGTCACTGCCAACATACTGAGAACAGATAGATATACGTCACTGCCAACAGCTGTTTCGTGTAAAAAGATAAACATTGCAATATAATACGAACACCACTAACCATTTGCACATTTCACTAACACCAATAAGCCCTTTGGCCCAGACCTTATATAAACGTCATTGCGTTAGAGGAAGCTGTGGTAATGGCGTGTATGTTTGTCTTCAAATCGATGAGAGCCATATTTTGCCGAACACAACAATAGGGGGGATAGGGGTAAGAAGACCATTAATAATAAGAGGGGATAAGAAGACCATTAATAAGAGTTATTAAAACAGCGTTGTTTATGAAATCTTTTAATAATATGATTTTGAAATCATGTTGTAATCAAAATTCCGCTAAATAAGATCCTTAATCGTTGACAATTTGCGGAAAATTTAAACAAACTGGAAATCCGTAAAATTGTTAGAAGCAAAGGTTTGTTAAAAGAGTCCTCATTCATATCACACTTCGCAATTTCACCTTGAGATAAACTAGCCCGTTAGCTAAATATCTCAATAATAAAGTAAAAAAAAAAAAAAAAAAAATTAGAGATGAACTAGCCTAAGGCTAAAAATCTCAAATAAAGAATTAAAAAAAAAAAAAAGTTAAAAAAAATCGCAGTTTCAAAAACAGAATCAAGATTTAGGGGCTTATAGATCTCAAAATTTCAGACAATAGATAGGGCTCCGCGCTAGTCCTTCGTATCTCAGCTTATCTTCGTCGTACACCCCTAAAATCGCTCATTTTACGGGTTATCGGAAATGTTTCATTGTCAATCGTAATTAATCTTGTAAGCAAAGATGTTTGTGCAAAAACATGAGTGAAAACGCTTTGCTATTATAGTTTTAGCACATAGAACGGAAATAGGCGCCATGATACGACAAAATAGCGCGGCTCCCTACTAGCTTCTTTACAGAAAACAATCAGATAAAGATTTCACGGACATTTACAAGAACCTTAATACCTATTTTGGTTTGTGAAATTCCGCATTGCGCGAAGAATGATGGTACAAGGATTCACTATATATTTTTTTATTGAAAATTGTTTTTTAAATACATGGTTTTTAAAACCAGGAAATTTTAAAATCATTGACCAGGAAAGCCAGGAAAAAACCAGGAATTTCAAAATGGAAATTCACTTGCCACAAACATCTAATTGTTCGAATCAAATTGATTTGGTAGTAGGTTCAATGTCACCATTGTAATGATTAATGACAAATTAACTTTTTTTGGAATCATAAGACAACCAAGGCTAAAGCACAGGAAGCTTACTATGCCCCTCCTTCACCTATCGTCAGACCTTGGCAAACGACGAAATCTACATCTACATAAAATGTTTTTTGGAATTATGTTATTTGTGCTTGTCAATAACCGGAAGAGAATGTAAAGTATGTGTTTGATACAATCTGCGATATTATAATTTGTGAGAGCTCACTCTGAGGGAGCGTCCACGAATCTTAAAATCGCTGACTGTGACTCTCTGGAAGTGAAACTATAATAAATAAATAAATCTAAAAGATCATCGTTTTCTGAACACAATGATATTTTGTTCTATCTCATAGACTTTCATCTCGATTTTTAAATCAAGATTTAAAGCAAAATAGTAGCTTCCCTGTTTGCCTAAGGCAACAAATTGACAGCTCGATCCCATACCTAAGTCCCACCGAGGGGCGCTATTATGCGATTTCCTTCAATTGAGACCTGTAGACCTGTACCTGTACAAGGATGGGCATGAATGAATTTGCAAGAAAAACTATCAGCATGGAGAACATGATCAAGCTCGCGTGTGATAATTTTGTTCGGTCAGACATTTTTATAGATGCTGGTATTTTTGAAGATAATTGGAAAAAACTTCCTTTTTGCAAATCATCTTGCTTTCTTCTTCTTCTTCTTCTTCTTCTTCTTCTTCTTCTTCTTCTTCTTCTTCTTCTTCACATTTCAAACTTATTGCATATAGCATATTAGCTTATTGCGTGCTCTCAACTTAGTGTTCTAGATGCACTTCCACAGTTATTAATTGAGAGCTTTCGATGCCTGTACCATTTTTGCATTGGTATAATTGTGTGGCAAGTCCAATCATACTTCTATGCCCAGGGAAGTCGAGAAACCGAAAAATTCCTAGACCGGACCGGGAATTGAACCCAGCCACCTCCAGCATGGTCTTGCTTTGTAGCTGCGCCTTTACCGACTGAGCTACGGGAAGCCCCAAAAATCATCTGGCTTTACCATTTCTGAAAGAAACACTTCCGAACAACACTTCAGTGCCAACATTTCATTAGGGCGAAACTTCCAATCGCCGATTTCTCTCAAATAACAACTAACTTCTGCAAATTAACGAAGCCAGCTGGTAGAGCCATTCTAGATAGAGCTGGAATTAGGGCGTAACAGCTTTTGTAAACAATGACTTCTATCGATGTTTTCTAGGAATTCAAGGCACGAACCATCGGATAATGGAAGTTATTTCCTACCCGATGAGGATGTTGGTTTGCGTGAGCGAGCCTTGAATTTCTAGAAATCATCAAGAAAAGTAATTGCTTACAAAAGCTGTTAGGCCCTAATTCCAGCTCTATCTAGCATTGTTTACCAAAGCAATTTCGCCCTTTTGAAATGTTGGCACTGCATTGATCAACGTGAAGGCTTGAAGTAATTTACAAAGGGCTTTATTGATATCTTCCGTTTGTACAGGGCGGGTAGTAGGTCACTTTTGAGTGACTTGGTCACTATTTTCAAGTCAGTCACTAAAAGGCCACTTTTTTCATCATAAAGTCACTAATGTCACTGTTCCTTAAAACTCAGTCACTAAAGTCACTTTTTTTTACGACCAATGTAGAGAGTAAAGTATTTGAGTTCAAAATCTCACATCAAATCACGGCTTGATTTGGTAACAAATTTGTGTTAGAAAGATTCATTAAAATTCTGTGTGTAAATTCTGATGGACCAGAAGAGTTGCGAACAGACGAAAATGTTTTTTATCTCGAAATTTAACACCATTATTTTTGTCCTTGATTTGTTTTCCGTACTGAGTATTAATTCTACCGATGCCAGAGAAAAAATTGTATTGTATTTTTTTTCCGTTCTAATAATCCGGTAATATGGAAACAAATTTCCAGGTCCAGGTTAAAAAAAATCTCATCATAAAATGTTTTCTATGTTTCAGAAGCATTTAAATTTTTCAAGGACTATAAACGTACATTCTATATGTTTAAAATATAGAACATTATTTCAGGCCGCACAAGTTTTTAAATTGGTTTGTCTTGGAGAGCTCGAATTTTAAAGTCCCAGCAATAAAAAAAATGGTTCAGAAATGTATCCCTAAATCCCTAATTTTTCACGATCGAGATTTCAAGTCTTAGATGCATTCATTTTTTGTTTTATTTCCGTGATCTATCCATCTGAGATAATTTTCCTCGCTCCATAATAATGAGATTTTTTCTTAAACTGCTATCTAGAAAAGTTGTCTAGGTCCCAGAGTTATGATTTTTTTTTTCTATGGTTCTATTCTTGAGAGGAATGGAGACGACCAGTCCGCTATAAAGGCTACAAAGATAAGAACGATTTTTTTTTTATTAAAATACTCATGGCTAACTTAGATCTACATTTAATTCTAGACTGCAGTTATTTACGTTACTATCCTAGTTCTTTCAAGTTGACTGTCCTAAAATTGTCAAAATTTGTCTAAATCTTTGAATTTGAACATTTTAACCTGTGCTTCAATTTTGCGATCCATCACCAATTCGCGATTTGCACCTAATATCATCTTAGTATATTGTTTGTTCCAGTGCGTTGGGGGGGTCATGTCCTTGGGTACGAAAGTGACCCCGTTGGCTTCGTACCACTCCAGGACAACATTTGAATAGTGACACGAACCTATATTCGGCCAGAAGATCGTAGGGCCCTCGTGTTGCTTCAACAGAGGAAGTAGACGCTTCTATAGACACTCCTTGTCCCGGTAGTCACGAACGGCGCACTCCGTTTGCCACATGAGCAGATCGCTTACCAAACCATGTATTTCTTGGCAATCTTTAAAAGTTTCTGCTTCCATACTTACTCCGGAACATTACCAGTTTATTCAAGATTTTGCACTGCTCTATTTCTAAACCCGTCCTCGTAAAATGTTGCTTTAAACAAATAATTACCCGGAAAAACATAAAATTCATTAATACATAATATACATACATGATTATTCAATTTGTGTACCATTAGTGTAAACGGATAAAAATACTCTTATACCTTTTGGAAAATTTATATTGCTAATTATTCATAAAATGTATAAGTCAACTAATAAGCAGACGCCTTGCAAAAAAGTGAATGAAGATTATGTGTCATGTATAAATTGTCCCACATACCGTTTATGCATTTTTATTATACCTATGTAGTTTTTCTTATGACATGCATAAGGCTGATGTTTTTACCAAAATGTATGGGTGAAACACATGAATATAATAATTAATTTTTGTTTCGCGTACAATTTCATCTGTATATGTATTTTCTATAAATGTAATTAATTTTGTTTGGTCTAGAATCTTGAATGAAAATAACTATCCTCACCAGTGCTGATAAAAATCCTTTC